TATTTGTTGGATTACAAACACAGGAAATCCTTAAGTAAGATGATGGTATGTTTTTTGGATCACCTTCTACAGAATTTAATTTCTCCAATCTTAATCTCATTTTGCTACTTTTTCCTATTTCTCTCATCTTATTTCTTTTCCTGCTGTTGTCTGATTCATACATAAAGAGTTTGTTTGTTTTCAAATAAACTTTTCCAGAACAATGAGAATAATTAAAATCAGTCCTGCTGCCAATTCTTGCAATTCTTGCAATTTTTTTTGCTTCCTCTTCATATGACAGTGTTCCTATCCAACACAATTTGGAATAGCTGCTCCAGAGATATATGCATACAGACATTAAATATATTATACATATTGAATTATTTCCATCAACTAATTTTACAAGAATCATATTGCTAACATTTATTCTTGATTGTAATCTGGTAAAATTGGCTGTGTCAGTCATTTACTCACATAAACTGTGGATTTAGTGTGAGAGTATAGCTAGTGAAAAGCTATTATTATCGCAGAATTATAATAGAACATAGAATATCAGATTACCGTTATTCAGACCCCATAGAAGTTACCTAGTGGACAATGCACATGGCCTTCTCCAAAGGCCTTGTCCTTGGCCAAACTTGCCCAAAGGCTAACAAATTACACTAGTGAACAGAATTATGAAAACTTTGTCAAAATGAAACACTGCTTAATGTGAGTAAAATATTCATCATTTCCAAGCCTAAAGTTAATGAACCCAAAGGGATGCTGGACATATGGCTGAAATTTGACTGTGTGGTGGGTCATAAATAATGAGTTGAATTACTTGGTTAAAAAAATTTTAAAGAAGCCAAATCGAAGGTTCTCCATCTGGAAATCAAGAATACAAGTTTTATCTCAGTAATGGCTAAAATTGTCATGGAAAGCAGTGATTCAAAGCCAGACATGTGTCACTGTAGATAATTCTATCACATAGCTGTTAAAGCAATCTGTGTCAAAGAAAGCTAACATAACATATAAATGTATAACCTGAAGACATCAAATAAAAGCCAGGAGAGTTTTACTCCTGATGCATTTTAATAGTGGAACTGCCTTTATGTTGAGTTCTGCAGGCCACATTTGAACAAGGCCATGGAAAATACCAGTGAGATCAATAATGAATAGAGACCAAAATGACAGGTAGAAAACAGAGGTGCTTTTGGCAAGCATAAAGGCATTTTTGAAGTCACCATAGCAAAGAAAAAGTTGACTTGTAACTTGCTAATTGCACAGAGATACAGATATATAGATGTGACAATAATCAAAAGAACAAACTATAGTCTGAAATTGAAGGAAGGAAACCAAACATAAAATGTCTCAGAAAAGATAGGAAAAATAGTGGCATTCTGTACTGGGTCCTGAAAATATAGATAGAAAATCATGCGGCTACCTGGGTATTGGAAATCATTGGGGTAGTATATATCTGAACTACAGATGAAATAACCTAAGGTTAGAATTTCTCATTTACATTTATTAATTGGAAGGACTCATATGAACATATTATATTATCTCAGGTAGAAAAGCAGAATGTTGTGCAACAATTTGATTGAAGAAATATGCTTTAAGCAATTCTTGAATATTTAATATGTATAGCATTAGCCAAATCACTCCGGTGCTAACTTTTCTAAAGTTGCTGGTTTTCTGGGAATTGAAATTGACTAATTCTTTTAATATGTGCAGAAAGCAAATAATAATAATAATAATAATAAAAGATATTTCACACAAATCAGTATTTACAATGCTAGAAGACAGTGTGCACATTTTGGGCTTTGTGAGCAGTGAGCAATGTACAGTTATATATATGATCACTCACTAAGGGGTGTGAATGTACACCAAAGGGTTAAGATGTTGATAAAATCTGCACCTCACACATGTTATAGATCTGCAGAGAATAATATAGCAGAAAAGTCAATATTGATTTTTCTCAAATACAGAGCAAAGGAGGAAGTACAGAGAAAAAGCAAATCCTGTAGAATGTCCAGTTTAGGAAATCTTTTGTACAGTTAATGAAGTAGTCACATTGATGGTGTATCCCATGAACCCTTTTATTTTATGCAAGAGTAGTGACAGTACCAGGAAAGCTATAGTTCATATTATGAACATTCCCAGCAAGTAGACAGGAATCTACATTGTAAAAGTGAAGTAAATAAGTCTAGTGCCAAGCAGAGCACAAGAAAGAATCACTTAAATGCATGGCTGGAGAATAAAGTCAAGAACCCAACAGTATTATCAAAGATGAAACTACATAGCAATCCTTTATAATGTTCTGCTATCCTATAATACAATAAAATGTAACAGGAAAGGACTGTTTTGAAAGGTGTCATGAAGTAAATAGCACAATAACCAAGGCAAGCAATGCTTTCTCTTCTCTGAATACTGACCTAGAGCTATCACTTTTCAGTCTCCATGTGCTTGTATGAGATGTTTATAATGTCAGCAGTATTCAACAAACAGGTAAAAATCTAACAATTCTTTGTAGTAGAGTTCTTACACTAAAGCGTTACTTTCAGAAATTGAATCTGAATGTGTATCTACCAGTACCAGACTTTGCTCACTGGATAATCTTCAACAGCAGTGAGAACAGAGGAGAATTAGAGAAATTATGAACAATTTTAACAAAGTTAAAAAATAAAATAAAAATCTGTAAAAAACAGAGTTCTGACAGTTTACTAACTAACAAGGGAGAAAAATGAAAAAATGTTTTTGATATTTTTCATAAAGCTGAGATAAACTGGCATTTAGAACTTTTTTTTATTCATGGTCCGCTCTGTTTACCACTTCTTTTTAAAAAACGTCATTATGATCAATGTGTTCATCTATATCATGCCTTATACTTTCTTAAATTATATAATCTGTAAATGTTCGACTTTAAATGCTATTACTGTGAAATCATGGTGGTACTTTTCACTAAAAATAGCTTTACCTTAGACCAAGAAATTCAAAAGATGTTTTTAATTTTTCTTTCACAGTATCTCATTCATTTCTACCTCCTCCCTTCATTGCTGCAATATGCTGAATTGCCTATTAATTAAGAAAAGTGATTCTTTTGTTCACCTCAGCATTGTCAACTACCTTGTTGAAGATAGTTGAAAGTTAAGATCTTGTCACTTGTAATCTTACATCAGTTGTTCCATATAATACTGTAAAGAGGCAATACAACTCCAGTTATTTCCCTTCTTTTATTCAATCTACTGCAACACTTTAAAAAAAGCAATGTATACTACAAATTTAATGTTATGTCTCATATCTTTCAAAATCAAAAATTATTATTTCATATGAGATGAGCTGTGTGCCAAATGAGATGAACTGTGTGTGCCAAACACTTCAGGTATGCATGCCCATACTGAGTCATCAGTGTAGTCTATGATATTTTGGAATTTAATATTTTAAAATTTCTCATTTATATATTCACAACTCAAATTGTCTACAATCATTCATAATATTCATTCTTCACTATCTGTAACACATTTTTACTATCTATAACACTGTTGTTAAGAGTCCTGTACTCTCAGCTTTAATGACACTTCCTGAAAAGACATTAGCTTGAAAGCATAGCAGAGCCAGTGGTGTTCATGAAAGTTCATCACTACAAAATGTTCACGATTCCTGAGTTAACATTCAGACCATCTCAATCTTTTGGCATTAATTGGAATAGAAATAAACTGATCTTTCTTAATTTCCTATGGTCTTCAGGATATGCGTGTGACCATCTACAGCAAATGATGCCACAAGGACAGCTTAAAACAAAAAACAAACCAACCTCTTTGTTCCTTCAAAGAGCTCTACCAACCCATCTGGAAACCTTAGGACTAGAAAGTACCCAAGGAGCAGCAGACACAAAGCCTTGAAGAAGTATAGATGAAAGTAAAAAATAGTCAATAGACCCAGTACCCGTCATAAATGCCATCTTTAAAAAACATGTTACCTTTCTTGGAAATACCTTATTGTATGTTACTGACACAAGACATTAGAGCAGCTATATTAGCACAGAGCACTGTGGCACAACAGAAGGCATTTGGTTTCATCTAATGAGAATGCTTCATTTACCAATGCTTGCTTGCCTTACATTTGTGGCACTGTTCTTCAGACTCGAATCATTTTTAATGTCAGCATCTTATGTTAATCAGCCTATCACTACGAACTCATTACTATAGCTATATTTTGAGGATAATACATTCATCTAATAATGGCATATGTGAATATCACAGATGTTTTCCTAAGTGGTCTAGTGTTGCTTTAACTAAACGTAGTCAGTGCTTCAAAGCACTGCAAAGTCTGTTTCTTTAAACATTTGTAGTAAAGCCCTTCCTTTTCTACTTCCTAGTGTACTTTTTCCTGAATCATAAACAAGCAATATAAATGAAACAGTGGTGATAGATGTTCTAAAACTTGATAGGGAACTGCCAGCCTTTTTCTTCCTGACATCCCTTCCTTAATGGTAAGCTTCCTATGCTTATTATTATCTCTCATCACTCAAAATCATTTAGTGCAATATGGGTCTCAAATGTGGATTGAGAAGAAAATATTTCATAGACAGCTAGGCCAATCAGCCTTCTAAATTGTTTCTTATAACACAGCATGATTTTTTCCCCCCTCTGTCCTCACTCTAAGAGCCTAACAAGTTAGTCACCCACATCACAAGGTGATTCCAATTAGTATATAAGACTGCAAAAGAACTTTGAACCATAACCGCTATGTTAAACAAATCTTCTTTATTCTATTTAAATGGAAGAAAAAGGCTATCCCAAATATTAGAAATTAGCAAAATAGTAGGGGATTAATTAGTAACATTATAAAGCCTTCCTAGCACTGGAGCCGTGCATAATTCATTCCTGATTCTTACTTTATGAAAGGAAATACCTCTTTTATTCAAGAGCTTTCAATCCAACTCAGTGATGTTTTGGGTGTTCCTGGGTTTTTGTGTTTTATTAGGAATGTAAAGTAACAAATTATGGCTAAATGATAAAGAGATAGAAATAATGACAAAAAAAAAAGAACTCAATTTGAAGACATGTTTTCTCAATTTTTCTTCTGAACACCTGGATTTGAAACAGTAATGAGTTTTGGATCTTTAGGATTACTCTTTGAGCACCGCTACATCTGGACTATGCATGAGGTTGCCCCATCTTCTGAGCTTTTGCACTTCTTATGGCCATTTTATTTTTACAATTATTCCTGAATTTCTTTATTTTGTTCTGTAACAATGGAGAAGACATGTCATGAGCCATGTGTAGCCCCATATTATTTCATTGTACAGCATTTCTTAGATTTTGAAACAGAAAAAAAAAAATGAGAAGTAGTTTGAAACTATACCCTTAGCATTTTTAACATAACATACTTCTGCTGCAAATATTTACAAGTCAAATGCATTATTATGTTCACCCATTTCTTGTGCTATAACTGAGATGTGGTCTCCGTATTAAAATATTACCCGTCAATAAAGGTAACCTGTCAATAAAGATTTTAAGACTTAAGGACTTAATGATACTCAAGGAAAAAAAAGTTTCTACTCCATGTAATACTACTCATCTTCAGAATTCAGAGCTTAAATCTAACAATAAAACATAAAAATATCTTTGGCCAATTTAGGTTCACATATATTGCCAGAGAAAGTTAATGATAACTTAATGGAAGATCAGGTCTTCCATTTTCAATTAAAAAGCAACAATTTATTACATTTTATCCGGCAGATGCCAGTCAGCTATGATCTGTTAACTTTAATAATACATTTGAGGAGTATAAATTAATATTTTCTTTCCTGTCCCTATAACCTATTAATTTGATCAACATTTTGTGTCATGAATTGACTACTCAGAATGCCTACATTTTCTTAACCTCTTTGACAAATGGAAAGACACGTCTAGGGTACCCAACTGTGTATTATCTACACTACAAATCACCTGTCTTCACTAGTTAGCTTCTGCCCTGAAACACACAAGGAAGCTCAGGTGTTCATATCACCAAGGCACGAAGCCTTAAAACTCCTTTTTTTTCTTTTTTTTTTTTCCTCTCCTTTCTTTGAAAATGACTTCTGAATGGCAACTGAAACAGTTTTCTGAAACTGACTGGTTATGGGTGAATGGCAAAGCAAAAATCAGAACTAGTGTATTTGAAACAAAATTTGACACTTTTATAATAACATAGATTGAAAGCCTGGCCACAGTGCTGTTGTTCAATGTCTGGAGTCATAGAGAAGGCAGAATGTGAGCTGACATCTTCACTCAGTTTATGCTTAAGGGCAGAGGGTTACCTCTTCTAATTGTAACATTTCCTTGACTCTGTCAATCTGAGGTAGCCTTTAGAACTTTGAGTGTATCTTCATCAATAGCTTTATTTGGTTTTTTTTTTTTTTTAAGTGTGATTTATTACAAATTCATTCACTAAGTTCAGTGTGAGTATTAATATCACAATTCTGCCTAGACTTTAAAAACTACTACTGCTTTTGATTTTCTCTTTGAGTGATGACAATGCTGTCTCATTTTTCTGAGTGGTGTACACCCTAGGTGACTAACAATACAAGGCTCATGTGCAGCTCACTTGTCATGACTTCCCATGTGATTTATTTAAATGTAGAAGTTTTGCTTACTGAATTAAGTAACTTGTAAGGAAGCGCCACTTTATACTTTTTTCTTATGGGTACAGTATTCTATCATCCATCAAATATTTGCAAATATCCAAATACCACTCACCTAGAGTATGTATTCAATGACTGAAATAATTGCAATTGAACCACATATACCAGAACTGAATTCAATGCTATCTTAACTGTTTGTGAAAAGTTATAGAGAATCTGTTTCAATCCATTTCAAGAACCTGCTTCTTTATATTCTTTGGAAGTTTTGATACAAAGTCTATGACAGTAGAATTAAGTCCAGTATATTTTAAAAGTAACATACTTAATATGATAAAATACCTATGTAGCCTTCTCAGAAGATAGGTGTTACTTCAAAATGTATGCCCGATTACTTGTAGATCACATATTAAATGTAATGACTAAAAGAATGATGCTTGTCACACAAAAGCAATCCTATTTTCATATGAAATTCAGATAATTATTCCATTGGTTGTATTATAAGCAATGAGCAAATTTTACCTGAGCAAATCAGCTCTGCATGAGCACTGTTTGTCTACATGTGTGCAGTAGCTCCTACAAACACAAGCATAGGCTCTTTTCCTCTGTAAAGATTCTATAAAAAAATGCACAAATTTGCAGAACATCAAATTATCTTAAATTATTTTTCATCTGAACATTTAAGTTTGTGGACATGTTATCTGCAACACAACACTAAACCACCAAAACACATTTTACCTAAAGCACATACACAGCTCTACTGAAGCCTTACAGACCATTCACATACTTAAACTTAGGTAATTGCTTAACAGCTTCACTAAAGTAAAGCCATAAGAATATATTTCCTCTAATATTTGTGATCTGCTAAGACGAATTGAGCATTACATAGAACAATGTTTAAAGTACAAGCCCCTTGGATTCAGCTATGGTTTAAAGTACAAGATAGCTCTTTTACAATTTAAAAATTACTTATTCTAAAAAATGAAGATGAAAATTAATACGTGAGAACTTTGAGGCTAACGACTTACCTGTCATCACAAAAACACAAAGGCATAGGTAGAATTTAGCTTTCAGGAAACCATATTCATTATCCTCAGTTGTGAAGTCTTCCTTTCCATTTCGATAAAGTAGTCCTTCAATCAAGGGAAGTCTGCAGCAAACAAGGCAGACAGTATACAGACAAGAGCTCTTCTTACTTCATAAACTCCACTAAGCTCCAAAGGATGTTCATCCAGTGACCTAAAAGAAAAAAAAATGTATTATGTTAATTAACAATGATGATACAAAGTATAAGATATATGTAAAACTTTCCCCAGTTGAAAGTATTTTCTAAAAGATACTACTGTAACAGCAGCGATTTTAATTTCAAATCCATCAAAAGGTTTCTCATAAGCACTAAAGAGGGATTTCCAAGGTAATCAATGCTAATAAGTAGTTCTGTCACAAGATTTCATGAGGGAAATGCAATTAAATGATGTTATCAAGTGCTTAGGGAAAAGAGGGCAAGTGTAAAGGTTGCAACTTATTACAGTCTAATCTTTTGATTTCATTGTCTGACTTTGTATGGGCTTCAGTGCCTAAATGCTTAGTGAAATAGTTGGGAAAGGTGAAGGAAAGGGAAGGGCTATGTCTATTAATTGCCTGGATAAATTAGTAGAAATGCATGTGACAAGAAACAGAAATCATTGCCAACAAATGTGGGCCATTATGTGAATTAATTGATCTGAACTGGTTTTGTTTGTTCTTCTTGATGGACCGCAGGTTTTTCTCTTTTGTTAGTGAGTAGGGAATAGAGAGGAAAGGAAAGTGCTCTCATGAAAGAAAACACTCATTGCAGGGTATGAAGAGATAACCCATGACAAAATTCATGCCAAATGCAAATCTGATGGCCTTATCTATGTTGGATTGGATGCACTATTATGAGCTGCATGCTCAGAACACTCAAACTGTAAATTGTAAGAATGAAAAGGAAGATATTCTAATGTCATAATCCTGGAAAATGGCCAACAAATAATATAGTGCTACAAATTCCATTTGACTTCATAACTTAGCAACAGAACACAAAACTTCAGAGAACTGAGTCTGTTATTGAACTATTGTTTAACATTGTTTATGAAATATTTTCAGAAATAATCTAGCACTGAAACACACGCAAAAATAGGAAAATGGTTGGATTTTTTCTTTATTTCTTATTTTCATACTAGCAATTCTACTACAAATCCAGATATTTTTCCAAGACTGAATTAGAAAATGAAAAGTGGTCTCTATGGCCATTAGCAAGACATATTCCAAAATTGTTTCAGTTGAATTATGACAAATTATTTGCATATTAAAACAAAAGAGAATGATGTTGCTTTTCTCTGAAGTATTGTATCACTATTTTGTAAACAACATAATTCTCATTAGACTGACAGAGTGGGAAAGATTTGTATATTTATGCTCTGTGGAGTAAAATACCAGTATTACAAATGTGTACAGTTCAGTAATCCATGTCTATTGACCTTGTCATTCTGATTCCACTGAGAAAGTGGGAATGGGATTTTCACATCTTTTATTTACTCACAGGCTGAAATTAGTTCTATGGCCTATGGGCTCCCTGAAGCTACTTCTGTGATTCACTGAATTGTTTCTGCTCTGTTATTGCACATTAGAAATGAAATAACTGCCAACAATTGCTTTCTGACCAAATACTATAGGCCAAATACACTTATATTAAAACATTTACAAGAGGTATCTTCAGAATAAAATGAGTATAACAGTGCTTAACTAGCCATTATGGATGAGAGCAAACTGCACTTGAGCGGTATTAAATTTCAAACTCAAGAGAAGGTTCTGACTTAGCTTTAAAAACACTTTTTATTACTTGTGTTGACATTATTTGCTTGTATCTTAGTGGAAGAATAAACTACTTTAGCCTAAAGCAATTTTGAACAATGTTTGAACGAAAAACATAATTTCAAGTTGCTGTTTAGAAAACATTTTAAAATCACAGTGATTGAAATTGTTGCAGGTTAGGGCATACCAGCCCTACACCAGCCAAGCTTACTCCAAGCTCCACCTAAGACACAGGCCCAGCCCCATCCTATCCTTATGTCCAGGTGAGATCTGAGCTCGAAGAGCAGAAAGGAGTGAGAATTCAGCCAGCTGTGCACTTAGTACTGCAGCTATCTGCACATAACTAACTAGACAAGCATCCATTTACTCTTAATTGTAGTAAAGCAGAAAAATATTTAAACAGTTGCTTACAGATATGTAAGGCTAAATCAGAAGGACTTTACAGATCAATAATTCCACTTGTATTTCAACAAATTTCTCATTTAAATCTGTGCTAATGAAAGCATGTTTCCTTTATATGTCACGTCAGAAGTCTACAGAAGTCTGCAGAAGTCTCATGAGTATCAGTTTACAGTAAGTATTAATTAAAACTTTCTATTCTATATCTTTGTGTCTTTATAAAGAAAAAAAAAGATTTATCTGGTGCAATTCTTTTTTAGTATTTTGAAGCCTCTAATAATTTCTTTGGATACACTGAAAAATAAAATACTTCAGGATGCATCCTGTGAATCCTGCAACAATAACAACATCATTGCTAATAATAATTTATATAATCTTTTAAACATATAAAGTGCTGGCCAAGCACTAAGGACACACAAACAGTAAGGACAACACAAACGTCCCTTTGCAATATCCTCATTCTAAAGAATTCCTAGAGTATAATTTCTAATATGTCACCCACTTAGTCAAAAGTCTGTATGCAATATAGGAATTGGCCCATAAAGTATATATACATTGTTAATATGCTGAGTTGCTAGTTTAAAGTACCACTTTCTTCAGTAATTTTGAAAATGGAAAAATAAAAGAATTTACATCATGATGCATTCTATCTCTAAAATTCTTTACATATAACGTCACTTGATGGATACTTTTCCACAGAAAAGCAACTTTTCCACAAGTCAGAGAGCACCAAGAAAATGCACTCATATCAACCCCAAGACCATAATCTTTGGAGCCAGATACATAAACGTATCTGTTTGTGCTCACACTTGCAATGATTGCATGCCACTCTGACACTGTACATTCTGAACACTTTGAAGTGAAATTCTAGCAAAATATTTCATGTCATTTCAAACTGAAAAAAACAATACAGCTTTCTTTAATCAGTGTAGTTATTTTCCAGTGTTAATAAAATTCTCATTTCTCTAACACCTAACCCTGAGACACACAGTCCCTGAGTTCCAAATTGTTTCATGACAAATTTGACACAGAGAGTATTATACGTCTAACGCAACTTTAAAGACAAATTAAAAACCAGAGCCCCATGCACTGTGATCATTTTTTTGGAACCACTTACACAACCACAGCTGTTTAGCTTTTATCCAGCTTGCAAAGAGCTTCTTTTTACCCAACAATCATGCAAAATATACATAAACAGTAATACTAGCAAATGTATTATATGAGCATATACTACACTTATGTCACATTACGTTTTCAGTGATAGTTCACCAACACTAGCAAAATGAAACAAATATTAAGATGTCAACAGTTTACAGACATAAAAACAACTAAGTTTTCCAAGTCAATGGAAAAAAACATTTATCATTAATAATCTACTGTCCACCCAAGCTACCTGACTACACCACACTCACAAATTCAGTAAGTATATTTTTCTGCTGCAAAATCAGGGTTTAAAAGCAAAAGTATTAGAATAACTATATACAAAAGAGATGTACATTCAAAAGTATATTTTATAGTATTCAATCAAAGCTTTTCTCACATTATTCACTAAAAAAGTGAATTAACAAACACTATATTTAGAAAATCATTTACAGAAATTGAAAGACACTCTAAATATTTTAACAGTTAGAAAGATCTTGTGTAATAATATAAAAATGTATACTTGTATATATTTTTATATACTTTTTATTAGTATTTTATTACTTAAATTTTATAATTTAAGATTACATTAAAAATGTAATTTTGTATATTTGCAATTCTTACTAATAATTTGTCAGATCCTTTTCTCATTTTATTAGGAAAATATAGCAGTCGTATTATTTTAGATTTCTATATACCATGTAATAACACTTTGAAGAACGTCAGCCTAGACCTCCAAGCATGTGTAATCACTGCATAGCTCAGAATTTTGTACAGAACTTATCTCTTTTGATGCTGCAACCCTCCTGCCTTTTTTCAGTGAACATATAAAAGCTACAGAAATTTTGGAGGAATATGCCATTCACATCATGCCATGACAGGCCATGTCAGCTTGCTGGAGGATCAACCTTAACCTACAGCAAGACAAACTTTAAAATCAAATTCTACTGCTTCTAGAGAAGGTTGTGGGGGGATCAGAAATGGATAAAACGAAGTAAATATTTTAGCTGCTCTAGTTTCTCTTTCCACAAAAAGATTACTCCAAGTCTTGCTATAAGATCTCTCAATAATACTGGAAAGAAGTAGGTTTACATGTTTTATTGCCAGGGCAATATATTAACTTGCATACTGTTTCCAATGAAACAAGTTTCAATGAAATTTTATAAAAAAGCATAACTTTTAGGCAACTTAGAAACCTCTATATTGTTATTTTTTAACATATCACCAGTGTTAGTCTTGCCCCCAAACCTCTGCTACTGGTTACTCTCAACAGCAATGTTTGCTAGTGAAACTAGTGAAGGAGAAGCACTATGATGTGAAGGCAGCTCTCCCAAATTCCCAAGGAAAAAAAAATGAGGAATTTAGTAAGGAGCTATGGAAATATGCTAATCTCCTGATGATCTGGAGACAAGGTCACTTTGGAAGAGCCTTGTAGGGCAAAATACTGTGTGGAATAGTGCATTAAGGCATCCTAATGTCATTGAAGCTCTTCACTGAGACTGTGGTGGAAAACCCAAGGGGACTACAAATTTTAAAACACTTACCTGTTTATTAAGCAATTGAGACTTTCAGGAAAACCCTGATTGGAATGCAACATCTTATTCACAGTATTTCTTTTGTCCTTTTGAATCAACAAAAAAATGCTACTGTCTTAACTGGCAGGCCCTGCTGCTTAATTTAAGGACTAGCAAGAGGTAAATTAGAATTCAGTTGACATATGCAGATAGCAAGCAATTGAAAAAGGAGAAACACCCTGCAGCAAGTAAGTTTCCACAGTTTTGCTATGATTTTCTTTGCTCAGGGCACCTTCCACTGAGAAAGCTGTCATACTCTCATTTAAGCTGACAGTAACAGCCCTGTCAGGACAGCTCTAATGTACATTAGCACCTCAAGAGAAAATGGGATTTGCTCCTCTTCTCTTTGCCTTCTGCCTGCCATAATGCTCAGCAAACTCTCCAATTTACTGTCCTCCAAATCCAACCTTGCTTCCAATAAATAGGAAGGATGAAAGACAAGAAAAAACATAACTTACTAATAACAAGAGAGAAAATTTTCGCAGCAACCAGACAACGCTATGGAGCTTAAATATCAGGCTGTGGTTTTGCATCCTAGATATGAATGCAATGATAAATTCTTCACATCTCAGATGGCATTTAGATCTGCAGACAGTAAACAGCTGCCCTTTAAAATTCCAGTGGGCTGTGTTTTTATCAAACAAAT